TGGCTTGGTGTGCGGCATGGCCTGGCCCAAGGCCCGACCCACGACACGGCACGTGCCCGTGCAAACTCGAGCCGTGGGTCATGTCGAACCGACCCCCAAATTATCCTAGAAGAGGGAGGCACGGCCCGGGACGCCTTCTGGGCTAGCATGGCACGACTCGCACTTTGTGTGGGCCACACCCAATTTACACTTCTACTTGAACCTGCCCAACACTAGGGACGGGACAGGGAAATTCGCAGATTCTCCATCCTTGATGAGGAGTGGGGTGCCTTGTCCCTGAACTCACCCAACATTGAGGGCTGGTTACCTTTCCCTAAACCCGCGTGACACTGGGGACGGGGCGGGGATGGGGTAGAGTGTCTTGACTATGGGATAGGGAAAGGGATGGGGTGCCCTGCCCTGAACCCACTCTGTTGTCATTCCTATATAATTGTTTATTATTAGTGGAATTAATAAAAATATTAGCTTTTATAATTATTTTTATTTATTTAAAGTTTGTAAAGAGACTGGGCCGAATGGGCCCTAACATCCTCTCTTGTAATATCTTTTATTTTATTGTTGATGGGCCACACTTAATGGGCCTGTTATTTATTCTTGTTTTATTCTCTTATGTAACTGCCAAGCTGGCCGCCCACTTAAGGGCATTCTTGTCATCATCTAATTTTTAGATCTTAATAAAATAGGGTTAGAGGAGAATGGAGATTAATTTGACTCCTTCTCTTACCTTCTCTTTTCGCCATCTTCTTCTCATGTATAGCTGTTCAGACCTGTTCTTTACTTCTTCTAATCCCTAAATTTATTCTTGATATTTGAGGACTGATTTACATCTAAGTTAATCAAAATTTCATTTAAAAATAATAAAAACTATTAAAATTACTACATAGTATTAATAAAACTAAATTTACTAAAAAATATTTGGTCATATTCAATTAAAAATAATTATTTTTTATAAATCAACATTAAATTTAAAATAAAATTATTAAATCTTTCAGATTTTCTCGTATATCACACGGGTCCCTTCTAGTATAGTATGACTCATCATCTAATACTCAGCTTCAACACTGGATTTGGATACAACACTCTACTTTCAACTCTTCATTAAAATTAGGTTTCCTCCAAGGAATGTACAATAACCAATCAAAAAGCTACAATCAAAAGGCAGCCCTACCCAGTCTGCATCTGTAAACCTAGATGTAGTCAAATGACTATGACCTTGATAAATTAATCTAAGACATAGAGAACCTTTTTTTATCAACAATGGAGAACCTTTCAAGCATTGTAGTATCTTAAAAATAGCATCCAAGAGAGGAATTTTGGGAGAATCAATGAACTGGCTGATCAAACTAACAGCAAAAAATATATCTAGATGAACAATAGTTAGATAATTTAGATTCCCAACTACTCTTCTATACCAGCATAGATCATTAATGAGATCCCCTGGATCTAGAATAAGTTCAATATTGGGATCCATTGGCATAATTACAGATTTAGAGACTAACATCCTTGTCTCCTCAAACAAATCAAGCACATAATTCCTCTATGCGGAATATATTTATATCTTAGAGCATGTCACTTTAATACCTAGGATATACCATGGTTTTCCTGAATATTTACTATAAAAAACTACTAAAGGAATACCTTCTACTTGCTTATACCCTTCTCATTTCTTGTAACCACAATATTATCAACATGTACTACCAAAACAACATGTCACTTTAATACCTAGGATATACCATGGTTTTCCCAAATCTTTACCATAAAAGGCTACTACAGGTATACCTTCAACTTTCTTATACCCTTCTCCTCATTTCATGTAATCACAATATCATTAACATGTATTACCAAAACAATATGTCCAGCCTTGGAATTCTGCCAAAAAATAAAATAATCACTAACAATTTTCATACCAAAATCAATCACTATCTCACTTAACTTACTAAACCAAGAATTTATTATTGCTCTTGTTTCTGCTAAAAAAAATACATTTCACTGCCTAGAGACCAAGTTTGGAAAAAAGGTTGGCAAACAGACAGACCCAAGACACTTCATCTGTAGAGTTTCTGGTTGGCTGCCATAGTACATGTATTTATTTATTTATTGATGGGTAACTGTAAATAAATTTTATTAAAATGAGGTAAAGATATATAAAAAAGCGTCCTGATAGGATGTGCAAGCTGTCACATCTCAAATGAAAAAGAAAAAAGAGAATTACAACTCTGCACAATATATTTGACCCCAACCAATCCCTCAATTGGCTGAAGTATCAGCCAGCCTATTAGCCAACCTTTGAACCCACTAAACCTGTATGGACATGTTGCTGGTTAACCACTTGAAGTTCTCAATTTCATCCCTGTATAGCCACACTATAGCTTCCAGACTCCTTAGCCAGTCCACCACCACCTTGGAATCCCCTCAGATATATTGGCATGGTCCATCTGCACCTAGGGCTGTCAATGGACAGAATATTGGACCAATCTGATCCAGTCAAGTATGAGTCCATTACAGATGGACCAGGTCCAATTCAATCCGATGAATACTTCAGACCATTCTGGACTGGTCCAATTCAATGCCTGGACCGTCCAAACTGTTCAAATTGGTTTTAAAGATTGGGTCCAACCTACACCTGGTCCATTGACACCTGTACTCTTATCTTATGTCAATGGACCAGATATTGGTTCGATCCAACCCAATCCAATATAAATCCATTGCAAATGGACCAGGTCCAATCCAATCCAATAAATACTTTGGACCATTAAGTCTGGACTGGTCGATTCAATATGTCTTATCAGTTTGTCCAATCTGTTCAAATTGATTTTGATTAGAATGGGGTTCAACCCAAACCCGATCCATTAACACCCCTACTGAACCCAAACAAACCAAAAAAAAACACTCTCAAATACAAGCAATGAATGGAAAGAGATCAGTAAGTGGTAACAGGCCTCACTGTTGGTTTTGCAGAGAATACACCATTTAGGGGAAATGCACACATTAGGTCTCTTTTGCAAGACATCCAAAGTGTTAATCTTCCCAATAAAAAGCTCCTAGGGGGGGGGGGGGGGGTAGGCCTACACCAAACGTATTTCGCAGGGAAAAAAGCCTAAGAAGGAGGAGAAAAGCAAAGAGGTTTGAAGGAAGCATAGCAAAAAATACCTCCAGGGCTAGGGGTCTAGACACGCCTATCAGGAATAAAGGGATCTAACCAAACCTTACCTAGAATTTGCGAAAGTTCAACTGCCAATTCAAATTCATCCTCTCTCAAACCCCTCCTAAAGCCAATATCCTAGTTATAACCACCTGAAAGGATTAGGATAGAATACAAGGAGGGAAGAAGGTCCTTTAGACCAAAATTACCAATCCATAGGTCTTCCCAAAGCAAAATTTTATTCCCAGAACAAGCATCGTAACTGACAAAGTTCAAGAACTAAGGGACTGAATGGATTTCCAAGRTGATACCAAGGTKTCCTGAGCAAGACACCGGCATCCCAACCATTAATAGAGGATCCATGAATGTTTTCCACCACTCTAACTCCCATTTAACTATTTGGTCCTTCTTACCATCTCCTGACTCCCTGAAAAGTCCCTCACACGGTCCTTCCTACCATTTCCTAGCTCCCAAAAAAAAATATACCTCAATCTTCTTTAACTTTTTCACTTCCGTTAGTGGAATCTGAAACTCTGATAATGAAGAAACATCGAAGTTTGTCGGCGTGGATTTTATTAAAGTTATTCTACCACCCAGGAAATGTAATAATTCCTCTTCCACATTTCTAGCCTCTTTGCAAATCTTTCCAGCACCAAACTCCAAACCTGCTTTCCTTAGGGTTGGCTCCTAAAGGAAGTCCTGAGTAGTTCAAGGGCCGGAAAGAAGGATTACAATTTTCGCAAAAATGGACTTTCTCATTTTCAAAAGAAATGGTATCATTCAGTTAGGGTTTCAATGAAGCAGTTTTGCAATTACATGAAAGAAGAAAGGGAGAGATGAAATATGCAAATTCCACCATAATCACTAATATTTGTTGCCCTTGGATAGCAAGCATGCAGGGTTCCAAAATTCCAATTACATAATATCACAAAATGTTCAATACAAAAACTACAAATATCAATCAAGACTAATACTAAAAGTAGCATAAAAGCCTTTGATAAACTTACTCTTCGGGGCATGCTGGATCAGCATTTGATATTGAACCTACTACTACTTCGATTGGTGGAAGAATTGCATGTAAACCACGTGCCATTACTGTCTTAGCTGTTCCTCTCTTTCCTGAGATGGCAATTCCTCCTATCTCACGGTCAATTGCTCCAAGCAACAGAGCCGTTTTAATTGCATCCTGTGACAGAATTAATTTTCACAAAGATGTTAACCATGGCAATAATATAAATGTGATTCACTTAGTCCTCACTCTTGTCATTAAAAATGTATGAATGCTTCTTTTTTCTAATAAACGTAATGAAAGAGCCTTGAAGTCACCTATACAAAACAAGGTGAAGAAAAGGATGATCACTAAAATAGGGTTTTGTTGATTTTCAGCATCATCATTGAGCACTATAGTAAGGGGTAAAAGAACAAGAAGAGCCACCTCTAGGGTTGACTGATTACACATAAGAATTCAAACTGTCAGATTAAATAAGGACGTCCTTTTGTAAGTCAAAGAGGAAAATGAGCTCGAGATTATTATAGTCTCATAAACCATCTCTGTAAAAATTTGTAATAATAATCCATACTGGGAGATGGAATAGGGCCTAGGAAATCTATCACAAAAAAGAGGATATGAACCAGCATAAAGTCCTCCTAAAAATTTTTTTTTTTTTTATAAATAAAACTCATCAATTTTCATTAGAAGCAAAGGATAACACCTGTTACAAGCATCCCATTGGTAGGCGTGAGGTGCAAACTCACTCTTTAACAAAGAAATACAACAGATTTGCAAATGGGCCCAGTACATCTGATCCCTTGTTACCCCTTCTTAGCTAGAGAATCAACCAGTGCATTGACCTCCCTTCCCACCCATTGTATAGTTAAAATCATCTTYTGTGTTCGCCATTTCAATTTCTTCATTTCATTTCTATAACATCAAATCACTGAATCTGGGTCTTTTACCCAACCCACTGCCACCTTGGAGTACTCTTCTATCATCAATTTCTCCATGCCTCACTATTTTGCAATCTGAGCGCCTTGTAGGGCTGCATACAGTTCTACCTTTAAAGAGACTCCATTTCCCATTGGTCCTGAAAAGATGGTTCTTAAATTTCCTTCCTTGTCTCTTACAGCCCTTCCAATGCCAGATGGACCTAGGTTGCCTTGACTGCTCCCATCAAAGTTTAGTTTCAGCCAATCTTCAATAGGACGTGTCCTTGCTTTGACTTTCTATACTGCACTAAAGGGTACCAAGCTCCGATTCCTCCAATATCATCAAAGGAGAAATATTTGAATAGGTCCAATGTTTGTAGAAAATGTATAACCCTAGTCATTACACACTCCATAATTTGTTGTTTACTTCTTTCTTTCTCTTGGAAAATTCTATCATTTCTTTCTTCCCATAATGCCCAAATCATTGCTGCTCTAGTGCACCTCTACATTATTCTTCCCCTTCTCTTCGGAAAACCAAAGGTAGACGGATCAAACGACATTTTAATCTCTGTTGACATATTCCACATGCACCCAAACAAAGAGAAAAACCAATCCTAGATTTCTTTAGCAAATGAGCAAGAGATTAGTAAGTGAAAACAAGATTTACCATTGGATTTACATAGAGGAAAAACAATGCAAGAATCTATAGACTAACCCAAGATATTGTTGCCTTGAGGCAAGGGGATATGTCTGTTGCAACTTATTTTGCAACCTTAGAAGGTCTATGGGAAGAACTGGACCACCATCTTGTACTTGACTGGGAAAATGCAACAGGTAATGAGAGACATGATAAACAAGTAGAAGAAGACAGGGCTTTTAGGTTCTTGGCTGGCCTAGACCCAATATATGAAGGTATAAGTCCCAAATTTTGGGAAGAGATGAGCTTTTAGATTTACATCATGTTTACTATCTTGTAAGGAATGAATAGGTTAGAAAGAAAGAGAAGCAAGTAGACACCCAAGTACAACCTATTGAGCATTCAGCCTTAATATCTTCAAGCCAAAAGGAGAGCAAGCATTCAGACAAAAGGCACCTCAAGTTCTCTCATTGTGGAGGAGACAGACATCTGAAAGAGACTTGCTGGATTCTGTATCCTCACTTAAAACCAGCGGCATTAAGGAAGCACAAGAAGCCTCAAAGGAGCCAAACAGCAAGTGAAAATGTTGTCATAAGTAATAGTGGTGAAAGCCCAAGAAACACACCTACAGTAGCTCCTTCCCCAATGGGACAGACTACTAGTTCCCACACATCATTTGATTTCATAGCTGATGAGGTAGAAATCCTTAGCCGAGCGGCTCAGCTGAGGAACAATTCCCTTGCATCCACCTCTCTTGCCAAATCAGGTACTATCTCTGCTCACAGTGTGATTAGTCCTATAGTATCTAACTCTTGGATTATTGATTCCGGTGCTACTGACCATATGACATACATGTCTTCTTTATTTTCTTCTTACCATTTGATGCATAGCCAAGATAAGATGAGAGTTGCTTATAGTTCCCTCTCCACCATCTCTRGAAAGGGGGAGGTTAACCTAGGTAAGGAACTCTCTGATGAGAGTTGCATGTTCCTAATCTTGCTTCTAACCTATTATCTGTTTCTAAGCTTACAAAAATTTAAACTGAAGCATAGCATTCGTTCCTACTCATTGTATCTTTCAGGACAGATTAACAAAGAGAACGATTGGGAGCGGTCATGAGTCTGGAGGTCTCTATTATTTTGATGCAGAAACCAGTTCAGCCTTACAATCTGCTTTTAGTGGTCGGGGTAATGAGGAGTCAGTAGGTAGGTTACACTTGTGGCATGCTAGACTAGGTCATTTATCTTTTTCTTTAATGCAATGATTGTTTCCTAAGTTGTTCAAGTGTATTTCGAGTTAGAGTTTGGTTTGTGAAGTGTGTCAGTTATCAAAACAATGTAGAATTATTTATCCAACTTCTAGTAATGAAATTCAAGCTCCTTTTGATTTAGTTCATTCTRATGTGTGGGGCCCTTCACCTCTTATTTTTATAGATGACTTTCATTATTTTATCATCTTTATTGATCATTATTCACAATGCACATAGATCTACTTGTTAAAAGGGTATGATGAAGTACCATARATAACCATGGAATTTTGTAAAATGATTGAAACTCAGTTTGGCAAGAAAATTAAGAAGTTTCACTTAGACAATGCTATTGAGTACTTTGAAAGCTCCTTGAATCTATTCATGGAGGATGCAGGTATTTTGCATCAATCATCTTGCGCTAGTACCCCTCAACAGAACGGAGTTGTTGAGCACAAGAATAAACACTTGTTGGAGACAACTCGAGCTCTATTGTTTCAGCACAAGGTTCTCAAGAACTATTGGGCTCAAGTAGTTYTTACAGTATCATATCTAATAAATAGAATGCCATCTAGGGTGTTGGGTATGAGAACTCCATTTTCTGTCCTTTGTCCTAATCTCCCAAATTTCCCTCTTCCTCCTAGAGTCTTTGGTTGTGTGTGCTTCATTCATGTCAAGGATCCTAAGAAGACAAAGTTGGATCCTAGGGCTACAAGGGGGGTCTTCTTAGGGTACTCTCCCACACAAAAAGGTAACAAGTGCCTTGACCCAGTTACCAAGAAAAAGTATGTCACTAAGGATGTGGTGTTTTTCAAGTCTCAGCCTTATTTTCGATCCTCCAATAATCCTCTTCAGGGGGAGACTAGTAGGATGTAAGAGGATTCCTCTCCTTCCTTCTTTGTGCCACTTTCAGCTTTAGGTCTTCCATCTTCTCCTCCTGGTCCTTCTAGTTTTAGCTATCCAGGTGAATCTAGTGAGACTCCTGCTAAACCGGTTACTACTCCTAATGTTGAGGATGTGACTGATGCCATTAATACACAACAGAAAGATATGATAATTGTTTACAGGAGAAGGGAAAGAGATCCTCCAACTTGTGACAACAACCAGCTGGGCTTGGGTCAATCTATCTCAGTGGATCCAGGAAACCCTATCACTCCTTCTTCTGACTTGGATCTTCCCATTGCTCTTCATAAGCCTATCCATTCTTGTACTACTCGACATCCCATTGCTAAGTATGTTTCTTATTCTTGTTTATCTCCTTGTTACTATTCCTTTGTGTCTGCTCTTTCTTTTGTTCATGTTCCTACTAGGTACTTAGTGCACCAATCCTTCCTTTCTAGACCTTTTCATCTCCTCTATACAATCATTGGCTATCAGGATTTGATCAATTATTTGTCTTCCTTACACAAAAGCTCTATGAAACTGACTGATGAGGGAGGGGAGTATTACTTTGATCCTCAACGAAAGGACTTTTGCAATTATCTTGTAGACACTGGTCACCAAACTAAAGGGTCAAAAGTCTTTTGAATGGCTAGCATCAAGTTTTTTTTTTTATTTGGAGGGGGGGATCAAGGCCAAACAAGTTGTATTAACTCCAAGGCTAACAATATGTGTGGTTGAGAATTCCTTAAAGACTTCAAATAAATCATCTTTTAGCACTTCCCAACAATTCTGATAGAAAGCCATTGTGAATCCATCTGAGCCAGGTGCTTCAAAATCCCTTTCTAGCCATCTTGTTGGCTTCTCAATCTAGTAAGGGCCACTCTAATCCTTCTAAACTCGATCTTTCCTCCAGAGGTCTTCTATAAAAGGATATGAAGTGATCCACAAAGATTTTGGCTATTTCGTCCTGATTCGAGATTTGCTCCCCATTCATTTCCAACCTAGCCACAAAGTTCTTATGCCTTCTCCCATTGACCATCGCATGAAAGAATTTTGTAATCCCATTCCCTTCCTTTATCCATTTATGTCTTGACTTTTGTCTCCAAGATATTTCCTCTCTCTTCAGGACTTCCTCCATTTCTTTTTTAAAATTCCTTCTCAATTCCCTTTCTTCTACTTAAAGGTTTCTTCCACTTTCTACATTATCGAACTCTTCAATCTAGGAAATAAGAGTCAGCTTCCTTTCTTCTAACCTCCCAAAGATCCCTATTCCTCTCATTTATTTTAGACCTCAATCTTTGCAATTTTTTATGGAATTTGATTCCCTCCCACAGTCCCACCTTATCCCCCTTAGATCCTCCTTCCACCATTCCTCCACTCTCCGAATAAAATCTAGATGTGCCAACCACATGTTTTCAAATCTGAAAGGAGGACCATGTAGGAAACATTCTATTCCTATCTAATGGGGTGGTGGTCTGAAGTGACTCTAGGCAAAGCTCTCGAAACCAAACATTCCCAATGATTCTCCCACCCTATGTTAAACAAAAATCTATCCAGTTTTGAGCACAATGGGTTTTCCTGAAAATTGGACCAAGTAAAATTTGTTTGCAATAAATGGATCGCCTTCAATTCACACAAGTTTATGAATTCATTAAACTTCACATTGAAATCCCCTCCCAAACACCACGCACATTTCCACAATCCCCATATTTCATAAAGTTCCTCCCACATATCACTCTTCTCTCTGTAACTATTTGGTCCATAGAAATTAGTTAGCACCCAAGTGAATCCATCCTCCACAATCCTGAACTTAATAGATATGGTATACCTTCCAATTAGTTCTTCCATTGATTCCAACACTTCATCCTTCCATAATATCACTATACCCCCAAAAGCCCCCTAGGATGGGGCCTCCACCCATCTAACCCCTCTCGATTTCCACAAGCTTCTGATCAACCTTCTATCCAACTCTGCTAGTTTGGTGCCTTTCAACCACATTAGGATCCTCTCTTTTCATTAAGTCTTTTATAACACTCCTTTCCCTTGCAGTCCCAGACCTCTTACATTCCAACTGATTATTTTCATTCTTTCACTTTTCAATTTGACCCTCTTATTCTTCCCTCCCTACTTGGATTTTTTCCTTTTATCTCCTCTCCCACTAAATTCAATATCACCCTCTACATAAGATATTAACCTTTCTACCTTTGTCTTTTTCTTTTTCTTTTTTTTTTTTCTTCACTCTTTCTAACATACATTTTCATCCTCTGATTCCCTTGTCTTTATGTTTTCCTTTACAGTTGGGTCAGCCTTATTTTGGAACCCTTCCTGACTTATTTCTTCCTTTTTTTAAGGTCATCAATGAATTCACTGATCGAGCCCCAAATCCTTTCTACTTCCTCTTCCACCCCCTCCTAACTTCTATCTCCGGCCCTTCCAACCACTCTTCCCACATCCACTTTCCTTCCTCAAGATATCAAGCTGGGTAGCTGGTGTACCTGTTTCAGGCAAAGCACACACATCAGTATCCAAAACTGAATGGACACACTTACCTGGAGACGCTGGAGGAGGATCGATAACAAAGGAGGTTGGGAATCCAGGTATGGAGTTCAAAAAATCAGAATTAGCCCCTAAACTTTGTTTTTGTTGGGTGGGGATGAGAGAATTAACAGCTCTATTTGTGCCAATATCCTTCTCTGGTACTCCCTTCTCTATTGCCTCCATGCTCACCTTCAAGGTCACCTCTTGTCTCACTTCTTGTGCTTCCTGTCCCTGTTGGGATACTAGGGGTAAAATCTCTAAGGGAGGATGTAATCTGCTCAGCTTCGACTGTAAATACTGCTTGTCCAYAACTCTTTGTTCCTTCTTCACTGATCGATTTCTCCAAATACTCTTCTAAAAACAGTTCTTCAGTGTTGAAGCTCTCTACTTCATTCATATCAATTCTCACCATCTGATCAATACTGCCCAAACTCGTGTATTCACTTGATTATGAATTGCTACTATCTTCAAAATCGGAATCTGGTTCTTGTATTCTCTCCTTACCTTTGTCGCCAACTGTTAAACTTTGGGTTTCCCTTTGGTATATACCCAAATCATTGAAGAATGCTGCCCCTGGTTTTTGCTTCGGTGTTTGACTGTTACCGATTTGGTCAAGGAAGAAGAAGATGAACCGAAGTTATCATCCATCATCGGACTTGACTTAGGGCTTACGTGCCCTTTAAATAAATCATGTGCCTCGGCCTTTTGAGGCCAACTGGTTGGGCCCAAGGGACAGAACGAGCGACAAGGCCCAAGCTTCAAAAGCCCTGGCCCGATTTCTTTATTTACTCTCACATTATCACTTAAAGTGCCATGTGATGGGTTTTTAAATTTTGACCCAACTAACTCGGGCCGGTTCAGGTCTGATATCCCAACTGGTTGAGTCACCCCTTCTTTTGAATTTTGAACTTGGGGTCTTCACACATCGAAGTCCACTGGTCACTGCCTCTGCGTAAAACCAACCGTGTGTCTCACCCCTTTCTATCCTTGGCTTATAAATTTCTGTCCCTGTTAGTTAGTTCACCTTTTCCTTTCCCCGGAGATTGTTTTGCTATTTCAGTGTAACTTCCATTCTCCTTTTCTTCAGCCATTTGAACTCTGCCACATAACCAGTCTTCTTCTATCTTCTCACTATCTTTCCTTCTTCCCTCCCTCCATAGCTCAACTTCAATGGCATTACTAACCAGGCTGAGTACAGCACCTTTACTGAGCGGGGTATATCTTCCAAATTCACATTACTCACACATACTGCAGCTGAGTGGAGGTCTTTAACAAAAACACCATCCAACTGTGCTTTACACAGAGTGGCTATAGATACAAAAACATCTGGAATCCAAAGATAAAACAGCAAACCCAGAATCCAAACAATTACTTTGTCGCTGTCATGCAAGCCCTTGGAGTTAGAGTGAGGGGTCCATTTTGAAACAGTCACAGAGGCTGACTCCAATTGATAACACATAGCATGGAGTTCCAATTTCTCTCCAAATAACACAAGGACTTTACATTTTTCAAAGGGGGTTAAGATTATAGTACAGTTTAAATTCAACTTTTTCAACAACTCTTCAGCAATTCTCTTCCAATCTTGTGGTGGTACTGTCGAGGTTACAATAAATTTCTCCTCCCAATCATTCTTGAACAGATTGCAGACAATTCTGCAATCCTTTGCTGCTTTATCCATAATCTGCATTTCTGTTTCCTTTTTGGGCTTTTCCTTCTGCTTTCCCGCTTCAGAGTCTCCATATAACCCCCTGTGTTTCTTCTACAATCTCCACTCTGCTACCTTATCTAGCTTCCTCCTGATCAGTGTAGTCCTTCAATTGTGACCTCTTTCCACCCAGCCCCATTCTTTCCTTCGGAGAAGCATACCATCTGCTTTTTTCCTTCCCCAAAGAATTCCATAAGCACCACATACCTTCCTTTAAGATTCTCCCTTCTTTCTGCTACATACCTCCTTCCATCAAACTCAGATGAATCTTTGCATACAAGCTTCCTACTCACCTGAATAGCATCCTCCATAAAATCTGAAACCACCTCAGTGCTTATTCTCCTACCAGAAACATCATCGCCATGTTAACTTCCCTGATCTTTAATGCTTTCTTCCCCTTCATCCTGAAACTTTCAAATAGAAACTGCTTAGCTTCAACCCTTAAAGATCTTCTTCGAACCTAAGCCTTCTGAAACTTCCCTTCCTCCACCATCTTCTCCTCTCCACTTAGTGCTCCCTACTGCAACATCCCAACATATGCCTACTCCATACAAATATTTTCCAGAAGAGTCTTCTGCAGATTTCCTAATGGCCCCGCAGAAGTTGACAGTACAAGAGATAGTATTATAGCATAAGTAGATGACAATATTGTAAATATGTGGAGTAGCAGTTTTATTACCTACCTAATGAACATAAGTCCTCCCAAAAGTTGATTCCTCTTCCCCAGACAGGCTCATATATGATGAAACAGATAAAAGATAAGATAATGGCATTAATAGATTTCAGAGGATAAGAAAGGATATTCCTATAGTAAACCTGCATTCCAATTCCCAACCAATTAGAATGAGGACTATAATAGCTTTTGGTTACAGAATACCATAGACCTTAATCCTCCCTATTCAACCTCCATAGCCATTTGCCAAGGAGAGAGGCATATGCTTCTCATTTTACCGATCCCACACCCATACTCATCCTTTTGAAGAAAACAAAGCATTATTATCTTTGTGGAAGCCTTTGTAGCAAGTACCATTTCTCACCTAACATACTTGAAATGCATTATCAAATCTCTCAAAAAAAGTATTAGATCTTAAAGCAACTAAGTTGGGGTGGGAGTGGTGGGATGTCATCAAAGAAAATCTCTTGAGACACCCCACTCTTTTGGGTTGTCTAGAGAAATAGTACCCCTGCACTATTGTAATCACCTGAAACAAATTACATTTCCCCATATGGAAGTGTTATGCCCATCACAATAGGGAAATCTTGTAGCCTTAAGACAACTAAACTCAAGAAGGAGAAAGGACTAGCCCTAAAATGGAAAGAGTCCAAATCTTCAATATTCCATCCCAATAGAACCCTTAAGCACCAAAACCCAGAACGGTTCTACTACTTAAAAATCAAGGTTAAGAATTTACCAGAACTGTTCTTAGTTTTTTATTGGTAGAGTACTTCTAGTTCTTGAAAAACACTTTCAACCTGACTCCAGTTTTTTTCTTTTTCTTTTTTTTTTTTTTTTGCAGGAAAATTTGGCACCCAAAGTACCTCTCAAAATTTACCCACAATCCCACATCAATTGCATACTTAATTAAAACACATTGTGGTCCGTTTTCTATTCAAAAACTGCATTTTTATAAAACCAGGAAGCAACAAAACCAAATAGAAAATAATAGCAAAAAAGCGTTCAGTAAGGCTTTAATCAGATAACAGGTAAACAAAGGAATGCAAAATTAAGAATGATGTCTAACAAAATTCTTAAACAAAAATAAATAAAGAATTTTCGAAAATTCGCACCTGCCCAACTACAGCGGCTAATGGGAAGTACCGCCTGCCGTAGGAGGTTCCATCTGGCTTCTTTGGAGCGACCACGGCACCATTGTTGGTTTCTACAGTTGCAGCCGCGAGGGGACGAAGGAGAGGGGCTCGCACTAAGAGGAGATTGTGGGAGCCCTTGAATTTCAAAGAGGAGAGACATGGGCTTAATCTAAATGAAGGGAAAATGGAGAATTGTCGATGAGAGAAAGGTGTAGTGCAGCTTGGAACAGTTGGGGAGAGAGCCATTAGAGAGGAGAGAGTGGAGAGATCAATAGCATTTGATAACTCCCCTCCTTATCCGTTAATCTGCCATGCTGTGTTTGATGATAAATTGATAAAGARTATATTGCATCTGACGCAAATCACGCTTAGATGGGTCGGGCGATTTATTGATTGGCTTGTAGCAGAGGAGGTCATGCTCCGCTCCGGATCAGTTAGTTACCTATACTGCGTACACTTTGCTAGATCCCCACTAACAGTGTTACACCTGTCCCAACTCCCATGTAAAATAGAAATTAGAATTCATCCCACTAACGGTTAATCAATTAATGGCTCCCTTAAGAGTGGGGATGTAGTAGTAAATTTTTATAATTTATAAAAAAAAAAAAAAAAAAAAAAAAAAAACAAGGGATAAATGGATTGCAATCCACATCAGAATTCTGAATTGCGGCCCCTCCTAGTCTAGTAGTAGCCCGCATTCTACCCATGAATTTAGCATCAATCTACTATGGGCAGATTCAGTCCACCCCTAAAAATCCTAACTCCACTCTAGGGGTGGACTGAACTATAAAAACCCCTTAAAACAAAACAAAACATAAAAAAAAAAACCCAGCAAATTTCATTTCCTCTCACGAAAAGGAAAACCCAAAACCCTATCTCTCCATCCTTCTCAGTTCTCATCCTTTCTTTCCTCTACAATCTTTTTCTTCTCTTGGACAAAGACCATCATTCGTAGTCTTGTTCCCAATCCTTTATACCTTTACTTAAACCATTTATAATTCTTATCTCCCTCTATAGCCCCCTCGATTTTCAGAATAAAAGATTTACTTAGCATCACAGCAAAGACGGTCGGTCCTTCTTGGTTTTCAGGAGCCATTGTAACATCGAACCTTTTTTGGGTCAAGGTGACTCTGCACCAAGATTTTGGTTTTCACATGCCATTGTGTTATCAAACTTTTCCTAGGATACGGTAATATTTGAATTTGCATTACTTTTTGGAAATTGTTAAGTTTTATTTTATTATCATATCGCACTCCATATTATAATTCTATTTGGTTAGTAACAAGGGCTAAGGTATCGGTATCAGGTATCGTATCGGGCAATTTGGATACAGATACGCTTTGTAAGCACATGAATATGGACGAAAGATATAATAATACATGAATACGCTAGAAAAATACATATAAATTTCATAAATACATCAATTACACTAACTTTAAAGTCAAAATAACCACAAATAAGATATATATACAAAAGAAATGTATATTTTAATAGTATATATAAAAAATATTTTACAATTAATATAATGGAATACATAGATATTGATGAGGGCGGATTTGGCCCTCTAGTGACATTGTGAYGCCTGGCACCTCATGCCAACTAAGTGCAACCCCTTGATAGTTAGACAGCTCGAGCTCGCCACTAGCAACTCGCCACCATGCAACACATAGGCAGCTCGCCACTAGGAAGCTCGCCATCATGTAGTCTGGCAACTCATAACAACTAGGTGACAAGTGTACGTGACTCAGCATATACGACAGCTCAGCATAGGCGGACCGGTACGTGGACATGACTCGACGCA